TAGGGTTTAGGGTTTAGGGTCTAGGGTGACGAGTTTTTGGGTCACGTCGTTGTGTGCGGAGTCGCTCTCTTCACCCTACCCAGCGAACCCAGTACCCCTTGATTAAGGAATATAATATACCGTTATGTCATAATATTAAGGACCCTATAATTTAAGGTATATTCCTTAATTAAGGGGTATGTAGATTGAAGGTTCCTCACATTTGGGGTGTAGGGGTTTTGGATTTGGGGCTCAGGGCTTTGAGGGTGTTTGCAGCTTATAGGGCTGAGTTGGCGTACGGAGCTGCCTCTGCAAAGAGTTGGATCTAGCAGGCGGGAGTGAGACCTAGGTATTGTTGCTTGAGTGAGGGTGTGCGATGCACAAAGTGTACTCGAACGTGTCTATGATCATTTGATTTGGCATGGATAAGTGCTGCAGTGTAACGAGGTTGCTTGGTACCTTCTCCTGGCACGATATACAGAGAACCCCAGAAAGTTGGAACATGGGTTTAGGATGATTCGTGCTAAGATCCCTTATGCTGGGAATCTTCCAACTTTCTGGCTTCTATTAGACGTGAGGCCAGGAGGGAAGCCCCCTAAACCCGAAACCCTAAACCCTAAACCTTAACACCCCTGCATACGTCTGACTATCTCGGTGGCACTTCGGGAGACTTAGAAATTTCCCTTGTGGTTCCTATAGAGGTATGTATGAATCTATACTTTTTGAAAGGCCCCAACACTACAACCCAGCTATTCATTTGACTCTACCAGAATCAAAGCCCGATTCCAAGTTTAGAGGCCAATACTGCCTGAGGCAAGAACCTTCGCGTCAAGGATGGCTTTACCAAGGCCCGGGATGTCTTGGACCCTAAAACCCTAAACCCTGAACCCTAAACCCTAAACCCTAACCCTGAACCCTAAACCCTAAACCCTAAACCCTAAACCACAAGAGGGCTTCGCTGTCCGATGTGTCAGCCATGGGGGGTTAGGCTGTAGCTTGCAGTGCACTCCTCGTCCTAATTAGGGCCTCCCAGCCAACGCGCCGTAAATAACGATCCCAGACGCGAATCCGAGTCAATTTGGAGTCCAAAGCCCCGCAATAGTGCCGAATAAACGAAAGCCGACGCCTCTCTTTCTCTCTCTCTTTCTCTCTCTCTCTATTTCTCTCTCTCTCTCTCTCTTTCTCTCTCTCTCTCTCTCGTTATTTTTCTTTACTTCTCTCACGTTCTGTGTATCTCTCTCTCTCTCTTGGAAGTGGCCTCCGAGCGAGAACAACCTTGTTCGGGCGCCAAAGCCCGAACATGATATGGTATTATTTCACCATGAGCCTTACTACCTGAAAGCAAAAACCCTAAACCCTAAACCCTAAACCCCAAACCCTGAAGCCCTACGTACTACCTGACAGCCAGGAGCTCTTGAACCCTAGTCCCCCAAAGCCGCCCCGAGCACTAGGGTTTAGGGTTTAGGGTTTAGGGTTTAGGGTTTAGGGTTAACTTCCACTCTTAACCTGCTCTACCGTAGAGGCCTTAATAAAATATTCCCCACCCTCGGGATGGGGTTATTAGATTTTAACAGACTACCGTGAGACTCCCTGGAGTGCCCAACCCCACAGACTACCGTGAGGGTGAGGATGTTCGAAGTAAAATAGTTATCTTCTGAATTTTGGGGCTCCTGATTATACTTATAGTATAATATACCCCAAACCCGGAAACCTTATTCTACATTCCTAAGGCATCCCTAAACCCTAAACCCTACATTCTTCCCTGAGCCCTAAGCCCGAACCCCGAAGCTCGTAGACTCAAAGATCCGAGACGCCCAAGTCCTAAGCCCCTGAACCCTACCTTAACCTACGCAAACCTGCTTTTGTGTAGGATCCCTGCAAGTTCCAGATGAGTGTGTATAATAAATAGGAACCTACAAAACTGGGGTTCAGGGTTCAGGG